TAACTTCATTTGAGGGCGATCATGCTCTATTTAAATGGCAAAATGGATGCAAACAAAAAAGAAAGAGGTCATTTATATTTAGTTCCATTGAATATTATTCATTATCTTTCTAATTGCATCATCAATGCCATCCTAATCATTTTTTCTACATTTGTTGGATTTTGTTGGAATAAGATTCATTGCCATCATAAATAAATAAATAAGAAAAAAAGAAAGAAAAAAAGAAAGAAAGAAACTCTCCTAGTTGAAACTAATTTGCTGTTCTTTCCCCCTATTTAGAGTTTTATTATTCATGGATTGTCAGAAGTCTGATGAATTTTAAACATTTAGAAAATTTATCCCTAAGTATTCTTAAGAACCATTGTCCTCTGTAGCAAGCATAGCTGAAGGCCTGCTAATGCATTCTCCTTGAGGAATGTCTGGAGTGATTTCTGGATTATGCCATAGAGTTTATTGTATTTTATTTACAGAAGTTTGAAAGTACAACCAAGACAAAAACATCTCTCATTTTCAAAGTTTAAATTCTTGATCAAGAGTTAAAACTCTAGTGACTGAAAATTGACTGTGTTTGAATGAACTTTTATGTTAGCTCTTTGACTCATCCAGAACTCCATTAAGTTCTTGGGGAACCCCAGGGTTCAATGGAACACAATTTGGAGAATTCTGACTTAGAACATGTTAGGAAATGTGTTCTATTTGGTCTCCATCAATGTTATTTTCCAGCTATAATTTAAAGGAGGGGTGGATAAGCTTCCCATATGATTCTTGTTTTAAGGGAAAATTGTAGGAGATAAACTTGATCAGCCAAGACCTAGAAGGCTAGCAGGGAAATTTGCTTTTTTTCCTGCCTGTGCCAATGTTCAGCAGGAAATAATAAGAAGTCCTTACTTAGCACTGATAGAGGAGCTGAGGGCACAGAAATAATTGGTAAATAGAAATACAAACAGAAGTTCAAATGCAGATTGATGCTAGATATAGTAGCTACTGTTTTAAAGAAAACAGGTCTAAATTATATCAATAATATTGGCTGACCTTAGAAATCCATTTATTATTAAACTAATCAACTGCAAGCAATGTTTCTCTAGGAACTCTTACATTTTTGCCCTTTATAGCTCCATAAATTTTCAACAGCAAGGGAACAGGCACAGCCAAGAGTAGAGATTTATTGCCATGTGTTCTAAACTACTAATGATTGTGCACATCTTTGTGTGAAAACATAGAAGGAGAGAAGGATGGGGGAAGCAAATTAGACTAACAGTAGTAGTAGCAGGAGTAACAGCTCTAGTTTGGCATGCTACAGGTTTTGCATTCAAAGGCAAAGTCATCGGCTGAGGAATTCAAGCAAGGCTGAACACAAATGAGAAAAGAAATCCTTCCGTAATGAAGAGAGTGGATGAGAATGAATAGGAAAGATGAGATTGTTTTTAGAGGAAGGAGGTTTCTTACTTAGAGGACATTGTTAGATTCCTTGCACAGGTGAATTTTTAATAAGAGGAATGGTAAAAATTGGGGGGAAGAGGCTTGGTGGTCAAATTTTAGGAACTGAATAAGAAGTTTAGATAAAAGATTACCTTGTCTCTTCCCCATTCTTTCACCCTCCTTATATTTATGTTTGTGAAAGAAACCTAATAAATAACTTCTGTAGGCATCCTTGTGAAACAGTTTTTGAGATAACATCCAACTCCAGTATAAAACCTATCTGACTCCCTTTTTACAACCCTGTAATCCCTTAATTTGGGGTAGAGTCAGGGCTATTTAGCCCTTAACAGTAGCTTTGGCATTAACCTTCTATATTGCTGCAGTTATCAGCAATGACTTTTTCTGGTAGAAATCTGAGGACATATGCTCCTGTTTTATAGCCCTCTAGCTTCATTGTGCTCCTAAGAAAATGGGCTGACCATTCAAATTCTAGTTTGTGTCTGAGTTGGGGTTCAAAACTGTTCTTTGTCAATAATTACCAAATTGGACATGTAGACTATTAGTCACTTCTCTCTTACTATAATGTTCCTCTGGTTATAGGGTGACCAGATTTTTGCAACTTTGTTTTCTGTGAGCTTTTTTTTATTATCTAGGATTCCACATTTTTGGTTGGCTACCATTCATAAAAACATAAATGAAACAAATCTTGAAAGGAATCCATTCTATATGAAGAACTGATACCAACTCAATCATGACATATAACTGGATGAATGCTAGTTCCATAGTCCAGTCTGAAAACCATATAGAAATCCCCTGTTAGTCTTCCTCTAATATTATCATGAATATTATGAAGCTTCTCAATGGAGATATTAGTGATTTGCACCTTCTCACCAAGCTGGCAATGGACAACCTCTGTTCCTGTCTTGCATACAAGTTCCTTTTTCTCTGCTCTGAAAGATTTGAAATATTCCAAAAGCACTCCACATCCAATCAAATGCAGTCAGTTCTGGAGTGAGTTAAGCCAGGAGTGGATACTTGGGAGTAATTTTGAGCAGCATTCTCTCCAAGTATCCATATTGCACATCGTAACTAGCAAAGGCCTATTTCCTTGGGGAACTGAAGCTCTCTAGTTTATACTTAACATTCTGATTGCCAGAATTACAGGATGGCTGTGCCGGGAGGAGGGTAGAGAATTAGATTCTGTCTCTAATTAGATGTTTGCTCTTCATTTGAATTTCAGATGCTGGCTTTAATTTTAGAAACTTTCCCAGGAAGCAAAATGACTTTCTCTAGCAAAATGCACCTGGCTTCTTCAGTCTTTGTTTGATAGCTTGTCAGTATCACGAAGTGAGCATGGAGAGGGGCCAACCATTGTCTCAGCAGTTGAGAATCAAAACTTTTAGAGCCACTTCTCAATTTTTAGGGACCATCTCCATGAGTACCCTCTAGATACGCAGACTTCCGTTCCTAGGATTCCCTAATTAGGTTGGCCATTATTGAAAATTCTGGTAGTTGAAGCCTACATATCTAAAAATTGTCCAGACTGGGAATGCTGTTTTAAAATCTTCACGTAAATAAAGGAAGTATATCTAAACTGCCAAGAACACCTAACAGTAGACAGCTCATTATTATGTATTATTATTAGGTAATTAGGTAATGGTTAAGGCAGGGGTGTCAAACTGCCTGCCCACGGGCCGGTTTCATCATACCGGCCTCGCGCCTATCCCATTGCTGGCAATGGCAAAAAAGCTCTGATACGTTGCATGACATCACATGATGTCATGAGTTTGACATGTCTGGGTTAAGGCATCAGGCTGGAAAGCTGGAGACTGTTCTAGTCCTACCTTGGGCACAAAGCCGGTTGGGTAACCTTAAGCCAGTCATTTGCTCTCAGCCCTAGGAAGCAGATAATGGCAAATAACTTCCCAATAGCTTGCCAAGAAAACTGCAGGGACTAATCTGGGTGATCGCCAGGAGTCAACACTAACTATAGGGCACAAACATAAAAAAAACTATAAGGCACAAAAATATAAAAAAAGATTGGCTCTAAACAAGATATCCTTTAAGAAGAGATTCAACAACCATTTGTCTGAAATGGTATAGGATTTATTGCTTGAGCAGGAGGTTGGACTAGAAGACCTCCAAGGTCCCTTCCAACTCTGTTACTACATGTAATATATCATTGTAGCTTTACTGTATCTCAGGAAATGTAACCTGATGCAAGCTCTGTGAAAAGATCTAATTAATCAACCATGTCTGACTTGTATAAAGATCCATCTAATAAAGGAGAATATTTGTAGCTCATGGTTGAAATGAGAAGTCCTTGCTGCTCTCTCAGCTTGATTGTTTTCTTGCAGATGTCTCATTACCCAAACTAGGTAACATCATCAGCACTGATGATGTTGCCTAGTTTGGGTAATGAAACAGTGCAAGAAAACAACCAAGCTGAGAGAGCAGCAAGGACTCCTCTAAGATCCATCTCTTTTTGATAGATATCAGTTTTGGGTAGCTTAATGGGAGAAAGAGAGGGCAGATGAGACAATTACATGACAAACATTTGCAGGAGACCAAACATATTGCCACAGTATCTCTTTAGCACTCAAGGAGATAGAAAACAGACATATCTAGCTTATGGTAATAAATGGACAAGTAGTCACTAGCTTCTAAATTTATATTTAAATTACAAAGAAAGAAGGTGGAGTATTTTTTGGTAACTGCAAGTTAGCAGTTGGATATATATCAACTCATATAAATATAAAACTTTTGGAGCTTCATATTTATACTTTATACTTATACTTTATACTTTTATTGTTAAAAACAAGTCTCTTTAGGGATTGCAGGATTTTTTCCCAGATGGAGGACTTCAGTGTGAATTCTGTATTTGACATGAGCAACAATGACATTATATATTTCCAATCAACTAACAATGATAGATGGTTTTGTTTTAGCATTTAAAACGTCTTCTCACTCTGCACTGTTTCTTTTCCTAAGGTTTCACTATGATAGTCTATGCTAAAATTGTTTCAGCATTCCTGTTATGATATTTGATAAAACTACATGGGAAGATTTTAGCACTTCTGAGCTGAACGCTGATAAAAGAATACAAAGAGAGAGAAAGTGAAAAAAAACCCAAAACCAGAACCAAAACTAACAAAATAAAAAACCTCAACTAACCAAGCAAGGAAGCAATGAGAATTTAAACCATGAAATAAAACTGTGAATCCATTTCAAAATGCAATAAAACTTACAAATATATATTCTTGTTTTCTTCTCCAACGCACCTCCCGACAATCACCAAGACTGATGAACATTTTTTTTTGGTCCTATTTCTGTTCTTTGAAATTTCTCCTTGTTGAAATGTAGTTAAATGTTTATAACTTCCTTTCCATTACCAATTGATGAAAAAGAGTGGCAGGTTTGCAGCTCCAACTTACTTTTCACCATTTTAAGCATAATATTACTTAGGAGCTCATTAAATGAACATACACATTGAACAACTGTAGCAAAGACAACTCTATAAAAATTAATACAGAATCCATTTACTGTGTAACACAAAAGCAATGCAACTGCAAGATACTTACGTATTCTGTATCAGCCTTGGAGTCATAGTATTCAATATCTTCCTCCTGTAGATTAAAAGAAATAAGTTTGATAAATACAGTGCAGGATCCAGGAAGATTTTTCACCGTGATAGGATTCCTAAACATTAGTTGGATCCAAATATCACATAGGACTATGGATCCCTGAGGAATTATTAGAAAACTTTTGGAGACTTTTTTGAGGCAGGCTGATAGTGGCCAGAGTTTGTGATTGGATTTTATTGATGAGGTGAAGGAACAATGCTTATTGATGAGGTGAAGGAACAATTCCTCAAGGGTAGCTGCAGCTCCACCACTTTTCCGTCTGGCTTTTGCTGTAAGTCATAGTCTGTTGAATAGCTTATCATACTAAGCCAGGGATATTCTGTATCTCTTTTGATCAGTATCATGTATGCATGTCATTTGGAAATGGGTCAGTAGAAACACCAGAGCTTGCCATGAAAGATGCCTATTGACTAGGTTGTTTCATGAACAGTATGATCAGTTCCAAAAGAAAAATACTTGGTGGCAGTGCACTGAGAGAGATGGCTGAACTAGGGTTCCTGTACACCAGAAAGGCTATTTCTGTGTTTAGAAGCTATTTTGTTGTAATCTATTACTTTTAAATGAAAATCTACTTCTTAGGTATAAACAAGATTGTTATGATTTATGTTGATTGCTTTTATTTAATATCCTGTGACTATCACTGACTGTTGTATCTCATGATTTATGATTATTGTATTTTATGATCATGATTTATCACTTGTTGCTTGCATGTACATTGAGACTTTATGCACTGGAGGTAAATTCCTTGTGTGTCCAATCACACTGGGCCAATAAGAATTCTATTCTATTCTATTCTATTCTATTCTATTCTATTCTATTCTATTCTATTCTATTCTATTCTATTCTATTCTATTCTATTCTATTCTATTCTATTCTATTCTCGAAAGCCACATAGAAAATGTTTAAATATATAAATGATTTACAAACCACAATAGCTAGATACAGGAAACATGGCACGATAGAAAAAAGCCACATTAGGGTGACATATCTATACAGGTGAACTCAGATGGCTTAAGAAATCCCATAGAACAGAGGCAAATTACTAAATAAAAGCATACGAAATAATTGGCATGCAGCAGCTAGGTTTAAAAACATACCATTGTTAATCCATGTGTATGATCTACATAATTAAAGTAAAAAATGCATGGGTTGTTAAAATAAAATGAAAAAATTTTGTCTTTATTTCCAAAGGGCCAGCTTTCACTCATTGTTTGCCTTTTTAAATTTTTTTTTATTTTTTTTAATTTTATTTTTCCTTTTTTACAATACAATAAACAAGTTAAAATTTTTTTCCTTAACAGTACTGTTATATATCTCATACATATTATTTACAATTATTTACATAAATTATATACATTTTTATTTCTCTGCTCTAGCCAAACATAACATTTATTCCATATCTCGTAGAATTCTGTTGTTTCCTTGTCCTTTATTTCTAAAGTATGCTTGTACATTTCTGCGCATTCTAATATCTTACAAATGATCATCTCATTTGTTGGTATCTTTTCCGATTTCCAACACTGCGCGTATACAATGCGAGCCGCTGTTATTGTGTACAATGATGTATTGGAGTTGTTTATTGATCTTTGGATTAATTATACATAATAAAAATAATTCGGGTTTAAGTTCAATTTGTGTATTTGTTATCTCCTGTATCCATCTCCTTATCTGTTCCCAAAAAATCCTTGCTTTGGGGCACTGCCACCACATATGGTAAAATGTTCCCTCCTTATTTTTGCACTTCCAGCAATCTGGATTCATATTTTTGTACATCTTAGCCAATCTCGCCGGTGCTAAATGCCATCTAAAGAACATTTTATATTGATTTTCCTTATATGCAGTTGACAATGTTAGTTTCCAATTTTTATTCCATACTCTTTCCCATTCTTCCAATTCTATATTCCGGCCCACATTTCTTGCCCATGCTATAATTGGCCCTTTTACTACTTCTTCTTCCAATTCTACCTCTAGTAGGTATTTGTAAGTTTTTGTTAGAAATTTTTCTTCCTTGCCTGTCAGTATTTTATCCAATTGCTGTGATACTCAATTTATTCCATATTCTTCCATGTCTTTACTGTATTTTGACTGTATCTGTAGGTATGGCCACCTATCAATAATTATTCCCTGTTCTTTTAAGTCTTCCCTTGATTTAAGATTTCCTTGGTTATTATTTAATAAATCTTTATATCTAATTATCTTTTTTTTAATCCAATGTGTTTGGGTGAATCATTGCCTCCATCGGTGAGGCCCAGTTTGGGATTTTCATATAGTGTTTCTTTTTAACCTTTTCCCATATCCAAATCAGCACATCTCTTATCTGATGCCGGTAGAAATATGTGTGTGTCTTCTTGTATTTTCCCCACAAGAAAGCATGCCAACCGACCTGCAGATCATGTCCTTCAATCATTAAAAGCCTTTTATTATCTAAATTTATCCAATCTCTAATCCAAAGTAATCCAGCTGCTTGGTAATAAGTTTCCCATTTTGGGAGCCCAAGGCCACCTCTACTTCTACTATCTTGTAGCATTTTGATATTTATTTGTGCTTTTTTACCCAACCAAATAAATTTGTTAATCATTTTGTCTAATTCTTAAAAAAAAATTCTCCAATTTTATTGGGACTATTTGAAATAAATATAATAATTTTGGTAATAAATTCATTTTAATCACCGAAATCCTTCCTAATAATGATAATTATTAGGATCTTTTTCATTTGTGATGTCAATTTTTATAGTTATCCTCTTTTATTGAAGAACATCTTATAGTAAGCCAAATTCCTAAGTATTTAATCTTTTTTACAATTTGCAGTCCCAAGTCTTCTTCTAATTTCCTTTTCTGTTTTTCAGTTATATTTTTTATTAAGATTTTAGTCTTTTCTCTATTAATTTTTAGTCCTGCCAGCGTTCCATATTTTTCTATTTCGTTCATTAGAATATTTCCTCTCTCTAGTGGGTCCTCTATAAAGAAAACCAAATTGTCAGCAAATGCCTGTGTCTTGTATTCTTCTGTCTTGACCTGTAGTCCTTTTATCTCTTTGTTAATTCTAATTCGGGTTAATAGCACTTCTATAGTCAAAATAAAAAGTAGAGGTGACATTGGACATCCCTGTCTTACTCCTTTGCTTATTTCAAAATTTTTTGTATTGTCCCCATTAATTATCACTCTGGCCTTTTGTATCTTATATATTGCCTTTATCATTTTCTCAAATTTTCCTCCAAATCTCATATCCTCAATCTGTTGGAACATAAACTGCCAACTAAGATTGTCAAATGCTTTCTGGGCATCTAAAAATATTAGAGCCACCTGTTTTTCAGGGTGCGCTTCATAATATTCTAAGACATTTAACACCGTTCTCGTGTTATTCCTAATTTGTCTTGTGGGTAAAGAACCATTTTGATCTGAATATATTATATCATTTAATATTAACTTCAATCTTTCTGCAATTATAGTGATAAAAATTTTGTAGTCTATGTTCAACAACAAGATTGGCCTATAATTTTTTATCTGTTTGGGGTCTGTACCTTCTTTGGGGATAAGAGATATATTAGCTTCTGTCCAGGAGTCGAGTAATTTGGTTTTCTCCAACATATCATTGTACACTTCTAATAGTACTGTTTCAAAATCCTCATAAAGAGTCTTATATACCTCCCCTGGAAGTCCATCTGGCCCCGGAGTTTTATTATTTTTTTGTTTTTGCACTGCGGTTCTTAATTCTAAAGATATTTCCTTATTCAATATTTCTCTCTGCCCTTCCTTTAATTCTGGAAAACCATTAGTCTTTAAGTATTGTTTATTATTCTCCACGTCTATTTCCTCTTTTTTGTAAAGTAACCCAAAATAATTCTGAATTATTTCTTTCTTTTTATATATTTTATATTGCAACTCTCCATTTTCATCTTGTAATTCCTGAATGAGTCTTTTTTCCTTCTCTTTTTTTAATTTATAAGCAAGCCATCTCCCTGGTTTGTTTGCATGTTCAAAAAAATTTTGTTTTGCTATTTTCACTTCTCTTGCCATTTCCTCTTGGTCTATCATATTTAATTTATGTTTAGCCAAAACCATTTCCATTTTAATCAATTCATCCTGGGGTTCCCTTTATAATTTCGATTCTATTTTTTTAATCTCCTCCTGAAATATGTTTTGCGTTTGCCTTTTTACCTTATTCTATTTTGCTGTATAAGCTATTGCTATGCCTCTCAAATAAGCTTTAGCGGTATCCCAAATAGTCTGTAATGATGTTTGTTGTTTTGTATTTTCTTTAAAAAACAATTCCATCTCCTTTCTAATCCTTACAATAAATTCTTTTTACTTTAAAATGTGGGAATTCAATGTCCACCTTCTCCTTGCTTTTTTCTGCCCTTTCCAAACTATTTTCAGGGGGTTATGATCGGCCCATGTATTTGGCATTATTTCTATCATTTCTATATCCTGACTTATGTCTTCATTCATCCATGCCATATCTAGTCGAGACCAAGATTTATGTGGATTTGAGAAAAAAGTATATTCCTTTTTTGGGCGGGTTCCGTTTCCTCCACTGATCATTAAGTTCATGTGTCAAATCAAAAAATGCCCTTGGTAATATTTTCCGTTTCTTTTTATTTTTCATATTACTAATATAATCGTTTTTTACATTCACTACCGCATTGTAGTCTCCCACAATACACACATTTCCCAGAGAATATGCTTCCTATTTGAACACTAGTTTCTACTCTTTTTCTAGTTATACCCAAGACATCACTGTTGCTGTTCATAACAGTAGTAATAGTTCATAAACAACAGCCTGCTTGTTTTTGCACTGCCCTTGCTTAGCTCTTACAGTGAAGCTATCAATGTATGATACGCAAAGGATTTTGTTCATCAGCCGGCTTGTTGCAGAGCCTAAAGATGATTAGAACTGTGAGCGAGTGACCAGGCCAAGATCCCAAAGCTGACTTCCACGCCCAAGGGAGGGTTACAATGATCTCCCTTCTCCTTGTCCAACACTTTAACCACGGTGCTCTATACCGGCTCTCTTACCTAGACATCACCATGAGACCTAAAATTTGACCCACAGTGAGACAACTCAATTTACAGCTGTGAAGACAGCTTCAACCAACCAGAAGGAGTTGAGGAGATACTTCTGGGTGCTCTCTTCCAAGTGGATTGATCTAGCAGCAGATGGGGTATGCCCGCCCCCTACGTCAACTTTAATCACAAGAGAGTAACAGACAGTTCCTAATAAGTAGGTATTGGTGGTAAATATGTAAA